TAGGTCTGAAGTGTGTACTGACAAGGGTTTTCTCTATTAACCTCTATACACTATCCATTTATCGAATATACTATCTCTGTTGTTCTGGACAAGAATTATAGACAGGCGTTTGACTGAGAGGTTTGCGTGTGGCCTTAACGTCTCAAGATTCATTTCGTATTACTTGCAAAGTATGCTGTCATATATGGGACTGTTTACTAGGTGATTTCTCACGGTTGCACCTGCTAAGTAAAAGTGCTCTTAAATTCGAGTGACAAGGTACAAAAAAACGCGCTTTCTAAGGAACTTTAAAAAAAAAATATCGTGCGCTCCTCGAAGGGCAGGACAACAACTGCACCTGCCAACATTCATCGCAGTGTAAGTTCGTCCAGGGTTTTATGGCAAGCGCTCGTATTCTGGTGTTTTTTAAAAGTAAAACCGGCTATGTTGGCAGTGGCCGTGTTAGCAGTTTTGCTTCGAAATCTACCTTTCAGCAGCTCTATCAAGTTTTGTTATAGCCTAGCATTTCTACGCCGACTGAGAGGCATAAAGAGGCAGATATAGTTTATGATGGATGACGGCTTTTTTAACACAACAGAAAGAAATATAATTTTATGGAGTTTTTCAGCTTGTCCACTCAGGCATGTTTGGAAATTTAGCGAACATTTGTGGCCTACAATGTGCGCTTGGGCATTGTGGAACCTTCTTGTCTTCGGCCACTAACCACGCTGAATGTGAGGTTGTCTCGTTTGCTCGATGCACGAAGTGGGTGGCTTGCAGGCGGGCATGACCCTGCTGGTCTGTTCTTTTCACCGACCGCCATAAACGCATGGGGGTCCTGCCATCGTAACAACTTTATTATGACTGCCTAAAATATCCTTTACTGACACAAAATTCTCAGTTATAAATATATCCATAAATATGACCGTAAATATGTCCATGAATGGTCCGCCATAACAGAATAACCCTTTGAGGAGGAACGCTTTGAGGAATAACCTTTAATATATAATATCAGTATCAGAGTTGACGACGGAAAAATAAGTAAACGTGTTTGAGCCCCCTATTAGCAACAAAATGGTTAGGAAATGTATGAATACAAAGAAAGAATTGGAAAAATACGAGAATTAAACATTTGCAGGCAAAAAAGCGAGCAGCTGCCGGTTCGTGTGAATAGTAATCATACATGGCTACTCGCAGTATGTTGACTAGCTTATGAAATCCAAGGATTTTTAGAAGCAACTCCTTGTTACTCAACGCAGCCCAAGCTGAGGCCCCAACGTCTTACAGTAACAAAGTAATGATCGTTCTTCCTAATGGGGTATATTGCGATTTATAAAGGAATACACAGTTTTATACAAATACTGGCTTTTTAGAAAAATGGGAAATTCCAAAAAAAGGGGAAATTGGGCGTACTAGGAAAACTTAAGTTTTACATGCCGAGCAAGCCTGTTTATGCAAAACAACCGAGTGAACAAAGTGGTAAAATTAAAATTAGGTTAAAAAATCCTGTTCCAGGCTTATAAGTTTACTACTCAATTTGATGTCAAAGAACTTGTCAAATTTACAAAATTGAATTTTCTACACTTATTCCGCTCTTCTTTTCCTAAAAAGTATTATTTGTCCCATGGCTGCACTAACTTCATTTTCATGAACGCAAGAAAAAGTTTTCAATTCTCTGAGGATATATAATTAAGAAGTTTCCGCTTTTTTAATGTTCGTTTATCGTATAAAACGCAACAACAAGGAGTTTTATTTTCCGTAACGTTGATTAGCGTAGGAAAATCCTCGGATATAAGCAAACGTTGGATTTGGACCCACTAGGCCCCGTCTTGCCCACAGTACGCTGAGAAGAACTCTTTGGTACTAAACAACATTTTGCACCCCAACTCAACTCAATGAACAAAATAAGCAACCTCAAATGCGAGTTAAAGTATCCACTCAAATTTTGCTCTTCACATATCATCAGATATATAATCTACTGTAGGTATAATTGCCTCAAGACAAAAAGACTTCCAAAACGTGTCCTGAACATGTGCCACCTATGAGCCACCTGTAGAATCTACTTTGCCAACAGAGTCTTTGGCACAGCATAGCAGAAGCATGACTAGGGTGCTAATTCAAGATTGCCACCAAAGGCTGCAACGCTACTACGTAGAATATAGCCAGTGCAAATCCAACTTCTTAACGATTGCAGGCGAAAAGTCAAGGGATATTGAGAAGACGACCGACACGCGGGCACGAAAGGTCCTTATCAAAAAGAACAAGAAATTATCAGATAAGCAATTTAACCTGCGACCACCCCACATAACCAACTGCCCTGACGATCTCGCTCGTAACTGTTCCTCCAAACCCCTCAACATAAAACAACTTGCAGTTCTAGAACATGGAACACATTTTAACACAGCTGACGCTTCACCACGGAGTCATTGCCAATCGTCTCCTTTCGTGGCACCCCTATATACGATTTTGCAAAACGTTGTTTGCTTATTTAAAGTCTCTGGTAGAAGCCTCGACGACAACCGTAGCTTCTGCCAGACAGTAACCTGGACGAATAAAACATGTGAAGTTAGAGCCAGTCGAATTCATGGTATCCTTTCATGTTTTATTACTCTTCACCTCTATCCCACAGCACCTGGTAATCTATGTTGGGAGGCAACTCCCAACGGAACTCTATGACGAAACGACAAGCCCCTGAAGTCTAAACATTTGCTCGAAATTATACTGCATTGCCTTCAAACCGACATCAGATTT